AGAAAATGTGGCGATGGACCGTCACACGGATTTGGTATTTTAGTTTCTGCAATTTAGAGACGAGCACGATGTATGTAGGTATGTATTTAATTTACTACGTATGTATGTATACACAAAGACGAGTAAGTACCTCAAATATCAGAAAAAAAGTATACAAACTGACGGTATCTATATATATAATACGCGAAGATATTTTTTGTACAGGATAAAAGATCTGTACCGTTCGTTCGATTTTCCAAAATGAGGCGTCAAATTAAAATGCCTTAACTGCAGATATGCAATGAGTTTACTTTTTGAAAAAAATTGGCACATTTTACAAAATTACATTAACATTGTTTAAAAAAATTAATTAATCATTACAAAGCGGGTATCAATCGAAATATTTTCAAAAGCTTCGTTTCTTAACTCAGCTATAGGAGGGTTGCCACCTGTTCAAAAAATCATATTAGATAGGAGAAATATGTATCACCATATGGGTGCCAAACGAATGGGGTTTCAGAAAGTAGTAGTTTGAAAATATTTTGAAGAGGGTTGCCACCTGCTTGAAATTTCGAATTTAGGTTACTTATGCACAAGTTATACGAAATATCAAAGTACAGATGTCAAACGAAAGAGTGTTAAGAAATATTTAGTTTGAACGCTAAGAATATTTTTGAGGTGTTGGAAGAGGGTTACCACCTGTTTAGAAGGTTAAATTCAAATTATTTTATAAGTTAAATAAATTATTAAAACATAGGTAGACATCAATCAAAGGGGTTTGATAAATTTTTATTTCTGAACTGTTATTAGCGGGGTTGCCACATGTCTGCAGATTAATATTCCACTTAATTCATCAGTTAATTAAAATATGTAGCGCAATGTCCGGCGAAGGTGAGTTAACAATGATTAAGCTTGAAAATACTTTTGAAGAGGGCTGCCACCTGTTTGAAAGGTCTAACTCAATTAACTAATTCAAAAAGTATATGAAATATAAAAATACCGTATACAAATGAAAGAATATTAAGAAATCTTTACTTTTAACATTTTGAATGTTTGAAGCGAGTTGCCACGTGTATAAAAAGTTACATTCAAATTACTCAGTAAGGTGGATGAATTATTAAGAGATGGGTATAAATCGAAATGAGTTTAAAAGGGATTTATTCCTGACCTTTATTTAGGAGGGTTGCCATTTGTTCGAACATGTGTATCACAATGTCAGATGAAAGAGATTTAAGAACACTTTGTTTTGGAAATACTTTTAGAAAGGAATTTCAAAACTGAGATTTGAGATAAAGTTTTATTTTTTTCAATATGTATTATTATAGAGCGATTTTTTGTTAGGAAAAATGGAAAAACATCAAAGCTTAAGTTTTGTTTTCTTAATTAAGAATTTTTTCATCGGTATATGGTAATTTGAAATTGAAAATAAAAACATGTACTATGCGAGACTGTTCTTCACTCAAAAACGGTTGCACGGTGTGGCTGTCGGATCTCTTATAACTCTGACTAACATTTGGAAATTCTCACTAGTATTCTCGCATTCTTCCTGACTATACATTTAAGTAAACTGCTTGTGTGTTAAATTTAATTTGCATAAATAATAGGCGAGCATCACAAATTTATGCCCATCTCTTAAAATATAGTTGGATTATTGTGTTTTTGTGTAGATACACATATACATATGGCCATATGTATGTATGTCTGGCTCATGAATAATTCAAATGTCAAGCTCGTAAAAATGTCAATATTATTACATCGAGTAAACATTTGCGACCGCAATTAATTTAAAGCTTTCAATTTTTTTCTGGTTTTAACTTTTAAGCAAAAACTATTTTGTGATTTTATTACATTGAAATATTGGCGTTTGGCATACATGTGGAATATCTAGTAGTAGCTGAGTAGTTAGAGGTGCCTACTTAGGTGCTACGAAGAAACAGAAATTGCACCGTGGACATCATAATAGGATCAGAGGTTAGCTAAATATACGCATGACAAATTTTATGATGATTTTCAATTTACAGGTGGGCGATGTCAGTCTTCAACGATCTGCTTACAATTTTTCATTTGCACTTTGTAACCAATTTCGTGTACTTCTCGTCCTGTAACGACGTCCTCGGTGCAGGTTTTTTTTAGCTTACTGCATACGGTCACTCGGTGGAATATATTGAGCCTTAAACGCGAAAGAGACGTAAGCAACAGCAAATAAACTTTACGGAAGAGACAGCTTTGTGCTTTTTCCAATTTCATTTGCAATTTTTCTTTGAAACTGTAAATGTAGTCTGAAAATGCACAATGATTTTTTTTCATGAAATTGAGCAGAAAAGGCAAACATACTATCTACACACTTGTAGTAGTACATGGCGTATGAGTAACATTTTCCCTAGCACATGTAGTGGTAGAACTTGTTAGAGAAATATCCATTTCAGTACTCATTTAGAATACTCTAAAGAAGAATGCCAGTTCTCGTATTTGAAAAAAATATCGATAATACTCGTACTTTCAAGTATTCTGAAGGCAAACGCGAAAAGCAAAGATAAATCAGATTGCTTTGCTTTTATGACCTCTTCCTATTTGAAGTTTAATAGACATTGCTTTTAATAGTTTCATTCTGCGTAAAACAAATGTTTATAACCAAAAGCAAAAACAAATATTTAAAAATGTTAATTGTGTGTTTGTGTATTTATAAAACACTTTACTTTGGCGATGAAATGTAGAAAACGAGAAACAAAGGCGGCGAAGCCTTTTCGATTCTAAAGGACATATAAGAGTTCCTTAACAAAAATTTTCTCCGGGAATGGGCTGGAGTTCGAATTCATAACGAAGGTAGAATACATTGTAATACGAAAGCTCGGTTATGCTGAAGAATTGCCAAGTTATCGAGCCGTTCATTATAGAAGTTGAGGCAAGAGATTTGTTTCTAAAGCCACACTGATAAGGCCCAATCAGTTCATTGACGTTAGGCTTGAGTTTTTCGCACAATACACTCGATATGACCTTATAACCTAGGCTGCAAACTGATTTAAGAAATTTTGCGTTCCTTTATATGAATTTCTCGTTTTCCTTGAGTGCTGCAAACAGCCCTTAAAGTTTGGATTTTCTTCATAAAACCTGTCTAATATGTTAATAATGTAAATACATACAGTTAGTCAATAAAGTTTAGGCATTTTTTAAATTTTTTTTTTCAGTTTTTTTTTTTTTATATGGCCAATTCTACAACAAAATCCTCAAAAATCGTAGTTCCAAATCTTATGCAAAGTTAAAGAAAAGTCTGCAAGTTTTCACCCAACTATTGCACTTTTTATTTACACTCTTTAGAAAAAGTTGAGTACGCAGATTTTTAGCCCATTTAATTTTATTATAATAAAATGCAAGTTTGAGGTAGCTAGGACTTACCATTGATTTTTAAGAATTGTTTTTTGTTGAAGGTGTCGCTGAATTTCTGGCTTCCTCATTTATTGTTACAAAAATTGAATGGGCTAAAATTTGCATACTCAACTTTTCTATAGAGAGCGTACGTAAAAAGTGCAATATTTGAATGAAAGTTTGCAGAATTTTGTTTAGTTTTGATGTTTGGGGTTTTCGTTGTAGAATTAACCACATTTTTATAAAAAATTTGCGAAAAATAAAATATTTATTAAAAATTTGCCCGTATTGTAAAAAATTCGCTGTACCTAAACTTTATTGACTGACTGTACATACATATATATCTTAATAAAATACTGTAACGTGTTTAGTGAACGAAAGGTATTGGAACGTACTCTTATCGAGGGGTAATAATTTTGAAGGAGGTCTCCAACTATCTAACAATTTAAATCTCTAAATATGTATATGCATGCATAAAACAAAGTTGCCTACATAAGCCCGAGCATAACTCTAGAAAGGATCGTTTTGTGTTTGTCTCTCGCTGAAGAAACTTCCTACGGCGAGATGATTTAAAAAATTGCCAAACAATACATAGAAAAATGTGGAGAAATATATTTTCCATAGATTTTGTATAGGAAATTTTCGCTTTTTTTTATATTTTGATCGTAATATTACAATTGAAATAGTTGCCCAAGTTCAAAATTGTATCAACGATAAAAAATTATGCAGGTTTTGTTAGAGTGAGTTGTAAATACCTGCGGGACATTTACAGATGCTGGAAGATATAATGAAATTTTGATAAAAAAAAGCATAACAATTAGAACATTGGCGTTTGCATTTCTTTAGCGGTTATGGCTCAAATTACTTGGAGATAGTTTGAATTCTTCTTCAGTGTTCGAAAATCATTATAACACCGATTTCGAATAAATGTTATTTTGGTATCCACGACTTACTAAAGATCTGATTTTTTCGTGGAAAAACCAAGTTTAAAATTTTTTTCAAATCATTTTATTTACATTTTTCTATAATTGCATAAAATTAAAACCCGGATATTCGGTTAATATTCATTAATTTGGTTATTCCAAAAATTATCCTCAAAATCACTGAAACTATCGATATTCAAAGTAAATAATAGAATACCCTATTAATACAGAAATAACCGGATATTCGCGTTTTTATAGAGATAATCGTATACTAAAATGTTCGGATTATCCGAGCAGTCAAAAAACTCAGATATAACTCCCAACCCTAGTACAAAGTACATCTATAGGTGGACAAATTCGTACACTATGCTCAAAAAAAAAAAAACAACTAAAAGAAACTGCCTTCCAAACTATAAGTAAAAAAGAACTGGCACTCAATAAACTAAATCGACATCGAATGTATTTATTTAAATATTTTCGCACGAAAAATCACTATTCAGGTGTGGTATATATTTTAAGTATATAAATGCAGAATGGGCGTATATACAACGGTATATTCAAGCTTATATTTCATTTGCATAAATATATGCTACTTTAAACTTTGAATAAAGCCTTTAAAGACTGGGTAACTTTCCATAAGCCCTTGGTAGTTATCTCAGCAACCCACAATAAAACAATTTTTAAAAGAATAAGCGTTTCAAATATTAACAAGAAAATTATTTTCTAACTACTTACACAGCCAATATTCAGACAGTTCTGCGCTCACTGCACTCTTCAGGAAGTTTTATCCAACACAAACACAATTTTTATCTTCACTGCACTTAAATTAGTTGCAATAAATTATTTCTATAACTATGGATTTTGCAGAAATTTTTTTTTTAAATATTACTCCATTATTCTACCATTTTTTTTTTTTTATTTAATCGAGTTACTTTTTTTGTGCAATCATCACAATTTTTTGCGCCCAGTAATTAAATATAATTATCAGCTTGAATGGCTTTTATAACTTATTCCTCTGGCCTAAAAATCACTATATTTTCACAATTTGTTGGCATTTTTTTCACATAAAATTTGTGAAGACATACATATGTATGTACAAGTACATTAAACTATTTATTTATTTTTTTATTAATCAATTTTCAACGAGCACGAATATGCTCCCAACTAATTGAAAATTTACCGTTTAGCACTTCATATATTTATTTCTTCATTTTTTTTTTGTTTAATTTTCCACCTTCGCGTCTATTTAACACAACTACATCGCGACGCGGCTTACAACGAACTAAACTCAAAATTCAGACTATGTTGACAATAGCAAACAACATAGCTGCGCCACCACACACGCAACTTTCATCTTTGTTTTAATCTGCATCCATGCTCAAGATATATGTACATATGTAAAATGTTCGAGTGGTGAGTACCGGCACACCGGCCGAGTGTTGCACAAACAACGAGTAGGGGGAGTAACTAGTCTCACGAACTTGCAATACAAAAGTGAAAGTTAAGAAAAGTCGGTGATTCGCGTGCAATATGCAATCAATTTAGCCAGGTACCCACGTGCTGGCTGTGGGGTTAAGCCCCACATCTCTATATTTTTTTTTTTTTTTTTTTTTTGTGCTGTGGTGAAATTCCAATAGAGTAGAGTTTCCAATATCGCAAACATAGTTTTTGTAGTATGTGTCTGTGTGTTTATGTTTGCACTCGAAGTTTTGCGCTGATAAGAAGTTTTCAAAAGATAAGGCTAAGCCCTTTTTTTGTAAAATCATAAAATTTACTTATATTATCGTCTATAAGTCTTTAGAAAGCATAATTTTCTGAATTGCTTCTTCTGTCGTTTGCTTAAACTGGTATAAATGCGTTTAGTAGAAGCCAATTTGATATGTTGCATATTTCAAGGCGCTTATTAGGTTTTTAGTACATTGCATAGAGGGCCAGAAGGCATTCAAAAACGGCCAAAAGTCAACATTAAAATTTAAATTTTTTTGTACTAATATTTAAAATAAGCAGTATTTAAGGTACCAGTTAGCAAAAAAACTATAGCAATTGCCTCAACATTGTGGTCATTGTGTGGTGGTTGTGTTTTTATTCTGGTGGTATAGTAAAATTCAATTTTTCTTTCCAGAAAATAATAAATATTTTCCTTTTGCCTTTTGTTTCTTATTAATAAGCTGCAGCAATATAAAAAATATATAAAAGCCTAACTCAAAATAGCCTTTGCTTAAAATAATTCGACATTATTTACTGAGTAAGGATTTAATTTTTATGAATTGTGCTCGTTGTATGTAGTTTAGCACTTGTGTACCATCTCACATCACAAAATATAAAACATAAAATCTATTCTACATTTAATGTACTTTAAGATAGATTTGCTCAATTTTGCTTTATACATACATATGTGTTTATTACCACCTATAGATAATTAATTCTGAATTTTTTAATTTTCCGAGTTGCTGGGATTAGTTGCAAGATGATGAACTCAACCGGTGATTCATCCACAATTTAATTTTATGTCTTTTTTTATTTTAAAACTAAAATTGAAATTTTTTTGGGATAAACATTCAACCACCTTAATTTAATAAAATTAAAAAAGTGCTTAAAAAATAAAAAATAAATAAAGAAAAACAAATAAAATACAAAAAAAAAATACAAAAGCGAAGTCTAAATTCGTAAATGGTAAAAAAAAATAAAATATATATATATATATAAAACACGAAAGGAAACAACTACCAAAAAACAGAAACCGAGTCCTAAGTTCGTAATACGTAAAAAAATGTGAATACAATAAAAAACAAAAAAATCAAAATATTAGTAAAACAAAACAGTGAGTCTGCATTTATAATTGGCAGAAAACCCATAAGTATAAAAAAAAATAAAATATACCAAAAAAAAAAAGTGAAGTCGAAATTCGTAGTGAAGCCTCCTCCTGGTTGGCTTTGGAAACTACATTTTATGTAGGCTGACTAAAGGCGAATTTTGTATGCCGGTCGTATCGGATTTGTCATTTCCAATTTTTAAAATCTAACTTCAAATTCGTTCCCAGTAAGCCCGGAAAGCATATCATAACATACAGCGGACGAACTAGCCAACGAGGTGCGCTTGTGCGGTGGACATAGCAGCCTTTCTCTGGAAGGCAGAATTAACGAAATTTATCATTCGAATGCTAGACAGGGGCAAACCGCAAAGGATCGTATTTGATTACCCAGCAGCTCTGGGTGTCTTATGATCCACTAAAAACCAGCGCTCTATTAGCAATGAGGAAATAAACAACCTACAATAGGTTTTGTAGCAGTGGCGAGGAGTGGTTATCGAAAGAGACAGTACAAACCCTAAAGACACTAGGAAAAGCATTTTTCCGAATATTTCAGAGTGCAGCCGCGTCTCTTTTTTATGATGAACTCAAATTCATTAAAGCCGTCAAACGGCTTTGGGAATCAAAATACCAAAACTTGCAAATTGTTGGTTATCATGGTGACAATCCACTTAAACCAGCCAACCAGAGCAAAATTCTATTAGGATTGTATATGGGGTAAATATGTATGTATGTATGTATATACTATTAGTATCATACTGCCATGTGCGCATTCTTTTGTTTATGGGTTAAAATGGCTCTTTTACTGAGTGTAAAAATAGCCCGCTTCTTCTTTTGCAAAAGAAATGGGTCGCCTTTAAGCAATGAATCAATAAAATGAAGTCCATAATCCAATTAACCAAAAAGCGACTTGCAAAAAATTTCAATTTAAACGTCTCAATTTAAGACGAAGAAACATTTGTATTCCCTTCTTGATCGCACATTGGCAAGTACTTCGCTTTCATGCTCCTCCTTTACGTACTTCTCAGCTCTCGAGCACCAAATCGCTCCGCTCATACGTGAGGCGCGCGTGTTGTTCTTCGCCATTTAATTGGCAAAATGAAATGAAAATCACACGCTAAATCCTATTAACCCAGTACCACAGTTTCGATAAGCGTATAAAACATCGAATACTTCCAGCGCAAGCGCCGCAAAGCACACCACAGTTGCGCTCACAGTCATTCACCAACACACACACACACCACAGCAGCGCAACACGCACGAGTGAAATTCACCATACAACAACAAACGGCAAGCAAACGGAAACAATAACAGTGGCACACAAAGCAAGATGCCAACTGATAAGCGACTGATAACGACAAACACACAACAAAAACAACAACCACGTGCCTGGGGAGGCTTTGCGCACAAGTTCAACAACAACAACAACAACGACGACAACAAAGCTATTAAAAATTAAATAAAGTGCAACAACAACAAAAGCTAATTGTATTATTATAATTATTACGAGATATGCTATGGGTGTACGTGTGCGAGCGTGTGTGTGTATGTATGTATGTGTGGCTGTGTTTGTACATTGTTAAGTGTACAATTACCGTGATGAAGGGTCTAAAGCGCTGCACTTAAAATAACGCTGCAACTGCTAATTATCTGATAATCGAGCGGAGCACCAAGCGCTTAGCAAACAAGCGATAAATGGGGGCAAGCGCGTTTCCCAAGTAATTATCACAGATGCAGGCAAGCAGAGTCAATTCGCACATTCGCAATCAGCATGCAGTGGCCGCGGCGTTATATTTACTACCTAATTACATAACATAAATATGTGCATAGTACATACATATGTATGTAGGTATGTATGTACGAGTAGCACGAAGCGACCATGCAGTGGAGTGCATTCCGCAAATGTAAGTACTAATTGAATTCAATTTGGTGATTTGGAAATTTTGAAAATCTCTCTATTACCCATCGCCCATCGCATGGCAGCGAGCAATTACTATCAAAGCTTTGCGAAATCGTACTTTTGCGCGCAATGAGCCAGACAAGTTTTATGGTGGATGCGTGGTCGGTGCGCACAAAGCGGTTAATTTTGATTATTGTCATTCGAAATTATGGCAAGCCATTATTTTTATTCTTATTTTCGTTGTTACTGCTGCTGCTGCTGTTTTGAACAGAACGGCGCTCTTTCGACTGCTCAGCAATTCAAATTTGAACGCAGTCAAAGGCAGCGTATATTTTGCAAGCTCGTGAATAATGCAATTGTGTAGCGTTTGGAGGTTGCTCGGTGCCGTGAACTAGCCAACCACCACAACAGCGGTTGGCTATCGTGTGAATCAGCAGACAGTGGCATCAGCGTTTATTCATATTTATCTTTATGCACTTGTAGTTAAAATGATCCTCTTTCAATGCCCCTACGTTCAAACAAGAACATGCAAAAAGCCTGCTGGCCAACAAAGAGACCAAGGTATTTTTAATTTAAATGTGTACAGTTAGCCAAAACAAAAAAAAAAACAAAAGAAAACAATTCGGAATTTGTTTACCCATTATTTCGCTACCCTATGCCGTTATCTGCACTCGCCATAATTAAATGCAAATTTTTATCGCTGCAAAGAAAAAAAGGAGAGTTAATCCGACAAATGAAATCACTAAAAGGGTAACTTGCCCCACGGCTGAAAAATTAATAATCTGGAGTATAAATCTGCCATAAATGTATATTAGGTGGTTGAAAAGTTTGCGCAAATTTTTTGAGAAAGTGCTCTGGTAAATTAAGCTCTCTTAAGTATTATTGCAATTATATTTCCATTTCCTTGATGGCAAAGAGGACTCTGCGAGGATTCAGCCATTTCAAAGCTTGAGACAATAATATTTCTCTACCAGTTAGAATTGGAGCTTTTAGTTCGGTTGGATAATAAATAAAGCTAGTTTAATTAACGCAAGTTAACTAGTTCATTTAGTTCATTCTCGACCATTTTAATTCACACTTGTATTCTTATAAATTGTGCTTATTATCTCTATGAGCCGTTAACAC